GCAAAGGATCCAGCTGAGCCGTGCCCAGACTCCCATGGAAACTGGGAGATACTGAAGGTTATGTTGTTTTCAGCCTCTGAACTTGTGATAATTTATCATATAGCAATAGAAAACTAACACAATGAGGTTGATGGGGAGATCATGGACATATCTCAGCCATCCCCAACCCTAAGGAACCGTCTCCAGCCCTAATGAGTAAACAAGGATGAGGTGGCCCACCCATTCTGATTTTCCAAAATCGCCAGAGTTCCTGGTTCAGGAGGAAGGATTCAGCCAGATCAGCAACGCAATGTCTGAAACGTCGATGGGGATACTGGGTGGGGTTCTGACCTGGCAGAGCTGCCCCCGTGGCCCCAAGGACCAGACACAAGCTCACTGGAGCCACACGCAGCATGAGGCTGGCTGCTATTGGCCAAAGAGCAGTGGACAAGCCCAAATCAGGAACAAGAACAAAGTAACAGCATAAACTGAGAGAGAATATAAAATAAGTATGTCTTAAAAGGTATAAAGAGATCAAAAACTCTTCAAAAATATAACTTTTATTAACTGTATAGTACTCCACCACATGGATGGACCTGGGAGATTCACACAGAAGTCTATGATTTGCCCAGTCATTGATTGTAGAGCACTCCTTTTGGACAAGTCCTTAAGGTCTTTCCCAGACACCTGCTTCTGGACCAGTGGTTCCAAATTTTTGAGAGATGGTATATTAAGAGAACAAACTAGAGTGAGACTGCCTGGGGTTGGAATGGCAGCTGCACCAGGATCCTCAACTTCTCTATGCCTCAGTTCCCCGCTCTTTACAGTGGATTGATGACACTAGTTACCTCAGAGGGGTGCTGTGAGAATTGAGTTATACTATGCAAAGCTCTTATTACAGTGCTTGCTACATGGTGATCAACAAACGTTTACACATAAATATAGACACAGAGAGATCTATATTCATAAATATCTGTATCGGATCTATTGATACACCCATATAGATGTCTCACTCTCTCGTTGAACTAACTCTAGTCAAGCTTCTCTAAGCCCTCAAGGCCCCAGTCTTGGGCTCTGTCCTTGGCCCAATTAGTCCAGTTTTAGCAAGAATTCTGCTAGGTCAGTTTAGCAAAAATCCCCCACCCATGATATCTGATCAGATTCCTCATCCCTCACCTTCAATAGCACTGGCCGCCTTCAGAAAGAATCCTATTGAGTCCCTTTAGCCAAAATCTCCCCTTATCCTTGATGTTTTCATAGTAATTCTCCATCCACTGACCTCTGCCCTCTCCTTGGCTAAGATCCCTACTTGCTCTTATATTCGGAGTGGAGCCCAGTTCTGTGCTGAGCTCTCTCTTCCATATGGCAATAATTTCTGAATAAAACTTGCCTTTTCCGCTTTAACTTCTGTCGGGCTCGAGTGTTCTCTGACCGTATACGGGGGAGGCTCAGAGACCTTCGAGAAGTCATACAACTACAGTCCTCTTCCTAAGGAAAATGCAAATTTAAAAAACTGCTATTGGGGCTGGCCTGGTCCTGCAGCAATTAAGTTGGCACGTTCGCTTTGGTGGCTGGGGGTTCGCAGGTTCAGATCCCGGGTGCGGACATGGCACCGCTTGTCAAGCCATGCTGTGGCAGGCGTCCCACATATAAAGTAGAGGAAGATGGGCAGGGATGTTAGCTCAGGGCCAGTCTTCCTCAGCAAAAAGAGGAGGATTGGCAGTAGATGTTAGCTCAGGGCTAATCTTCCTCCAAAAAAAAAAGAAAGAAAATAAACTTTATTTTAAAAAAACAAGCTCCCGCGAGCCTCAACGTACTGCCCTCCGTACCGTGTTGGCCAAGGAGCTCCCGCGCTGCGGACCGGAAGGGCCTCCCGCTCGCCCTCACACGCGACAATCGCTCTGACGCAAGATGGCGCAGAGACGCCGCATGGGTCCCGCCCCGGACGCCTGGAGCTCAGTCTCCGGCCCAGCCTGAGGAACCTGGAGGCGCCAGACCCACGGGGACCCGCAGTCCCTTCTGGGAAATATAGTCCAGAGGCGAAGGAGCCACGGCCCGCCCATTCTAAAGGGCCGGTCGCCCAAGGGATGCTGGGAAGACGGATCCGGGCGGTGATTGGACCCCGGCAGCAGTGGCTTCTGGGATGTGTAGTTCGGTACTTGGCTCCAGTTATGCCTGGAGCCCGGCCTTTCGACCCCTCAACTTTGGCCTCGTCAGGCGGCCTAGGACCGGACCCTCGTCTGTGAGTTTTTGTGGCTGTGGGACGTCACTTGTCATACGTGCCCTGCGTACTGCTCCGAGTGTGAGGTGTGGGGCAGCCCGTGTGTGACGTGACGGTTTGTGGGGAGAAGCAGGCCAGTGGATACGCGCGAATGACGAAGACGGTGGGTGCGGCGACGAGCGCGTGTGGGGGGCGCGTGGGCGAGCGTGGCTGGCTTCGGGGTTCGCGGCTTTGTGTGTGACGTGTGTGTGTGTGGGTGACCCCGTGACTCAGAGTGTGTGACTCAGCCTTCCTTCAGTCCCGCGGTATGAGCGTGACCACAGTTGTTGGGAAACCGTTCAGGTTTGAGGTGATACAGGGCCGCGTGGGCAGGAACGTGAGTGTAGGGCTAGGGGTCTGTGTGGTTGCCTGGGGGGGGGGGGGGCGATAACTTCTTTAGGGTTTGCTTTCCCCATTTATAAATATGATGATAACTCCAGGTTTCTTATTACCCTGAAGTTTTGCAGCAAAGGACAAAAATATAAAACACGATGAAAACATGATTTTTATGTTAAAGAAACTCACAATTATGAGGGAGGAAAATCCAAAATCAGCCTAAAATCTTAAAATCTGAAGATGGGCTTTAAAACAATTCTTACTCTGGTGTGGCCAGTCTTGGCTCTGACGTTATAGTTAGACGTTCCTTTCCTTTTGCCGGTTGGAAGATGGCCCTGGAAAACTGCAGAAGCCTTGCACTGCAGAGCTGGCCTTGCCCATCCTGAAGCACGGGTCTGGGATACGCATGGCTACTATGCCCATTCTCTGATTAAGGATGCTTTCCCTCAGATGGTCCCAAAGTTTGTTCAAGGCAGCAGTCTGTGCCTGAGCCAGGCCCAGAACCCGAGTTTTGTTTCCATCATCCCTCATGGCTTCTGCGATGTCGTGAGGCAGACGTCTTCCATCTCTGATCCTGCTTTCTCTAAGGAATTGACTACCTTGATTCCACCTCTGTGGGGCTGGAATAATTAGAGGAGTGTTTCTCTGCAGGCATCGTGTTTGATGGAAGAGTTTAGAGTCACAGACCTGAGTGGAAATACCAACTCAACCACCCACCTCCTGGCTTTGTGTTTTTCAGCAAGTCACTCAACTTTTCTACATCTGTTTTGTTTTTTCTCCTATAAAGAAAATCTAATCTGAATGTGGAGTTATTTGGAGGAATTATGATTACCAATACTAAAAGGTGAGTTAGGCATAGAGAGGTTGAATTTCACACTTGGAGAATCCAAGCCCAGGAAGGTAATGTTCTGTTGGTATAATAGACAGGAGGGAAAAAGGATAGGAAGCATACCTATATTTTTACTGCACACTTTTCTTACATCTTCAGGTTTTTGAATCATGAGGATATACTGCTTATTCAAGATGTTAAAGTTTTAAAATAGAAATGAAATAGAACAATTGAGAAGTACTAATTAAACACTATTTAGAGGAAAATTTCCTTAGGCTAGAAAAAAGACATGAGATTATTTAAACATATCCTGCTGAAGTTCCTGAATTCTAAGGACAGAAAGAAACTCTTGCCCAATGCAGGACAGAAGCAGTTACTGTGGTAGGCAGAATTATGGCCCTCCAAAGATGTCTCCATCCTTATCCCAGGAACTTGTGAATGTTATGTTACATGGCAAGGAGCAATTAAATTGCAGATAGAATTAAGGTTGTTAACCAGCTGACTTTAGGACAAGATTATCCTGGATTGTCCAGATGAGCCCACTGTAATTACAAGGGTCCTTAAAGAGGACTATAATAGTGCTCTCATTTTGCCCAAATAATGATTAAGAATGGGGAGATAACTACTACCCTAAGCTCAGTGGGAAGTTCCAATTTAGCAAGAGAAAAGAGGAATGATCAGCCAGCGAAGGAAAGATAAAGACCAAGATAACATAAATAGTACACACAATGTGAAATGAAAGGAATAAAATTAAATTATTACACTAAATAAAAATGTGAACTTCCCTGTAGAAAACAATTCATATTTTGAGTTTTAAAAAATCGGCTGTATGTTTTTTGTAAGAAATAACTAAAATGATGGGTTGAAAATAAATGGCTGGGCAAAAACATACCAGGTAAACAAAGATAAATCACTAATATTTGTATTACACAGTATGAAAATAAAATACCAAAAAGATTACACTAGGCTAAGTTTAGCAAACTTTTTATCTAAAGGACCAGACAGTAAATATGGGCTTCACGGCCACAGTCTTTGTTACAGCCACTCAGCTCTGCTGTTGTAGTGCAAAAGCAGTTGGAGACAATATGTAAATAAACGAGCATGGCTGTGTTCCAATAAAACTTGACTTATAAAACAGGAAGCAGCCCAGATTTGGTTTGTTGACCCCTACACTCGACAGAATGGGATATTATATAATAAAAGGTATGATTCATAAATAGGGGTAAAGTTACATGTCTTTATAGGTCAAACAACATAAAGAGTAAAAATCTCTGGAAATGCAAGATCTTAGTTAAAAAAACTCAGTTTTAGGAAATTCTGATCCAGTATACCAAATTATGTAAGAACAGGAGAATTTGATCATTATAATCCACTGACTTAAATAGAATCTTGTATCCAAAAAAAGTACAATATATTTTTTTCAGTGTTATGGGACACATACAAAAATCAATCCTGTACTTAGCCACAAAGAAAAATGTCAAATTCAAAAAAGAAGCTATTTTCAGGCCACATTTACCCATCATAATAAAATAAAACTTGAAGTTATGTTATTTAGGATGCTTTCGGCTGCAAGTTTACAAAATATCCAACTAAAAGTAACTTCAGCAATAAAGGTTTATTTTTCTTACATAACAAGGCATCAGAGAGCATTCCAGAATTGGCCTTGAAGCTGAATGTTGTCAGTGCTCTGGGTCAGCTTCTCTGAGATCCTGTTTCTCTTTTTAGTTCCAAGATGGCTGCAGCAGCTCCAGGTATCATATTCTCATAGGAAAATGTTTAAAAGCAAGAAATGATAGGGAAGGAGTCTTCCAAATATATCTGTCTTCTGAATGAGGAAAATATTTTCCAGAAGCCCCTATAGATCCTGGGAACACACTGGCCATATGGGCCATCCTGAGCTGCAAAGGAGGCTGAAAATTAGCATCTGACATCTTCAGATTCTAAGGCAAGACACAGATGCACCAACAGGAAGGGAAATTGGGTATGGCTGCTAGGTAGGCAACCAACCCCTTCTATCTGTGACAGAAGTTATAAAAGGCAACCCAAAACAATTAAACAATGTGGAAATTAAGAAACCCTGTTGTAAATTTAGTTTACTCTTGGATCAGGAAGAAATAAAAACTGAGATGATAAAGTAACAACCACTTTCTATGTCATCATTTTCGATTTTTATTTTCCATTAATTTGTTCTTTCATCATCTGAGTGTTTGGTATTCTCTTTTCTGGCTTCTTTCTTCTAATATTTTTCTGAAAGTGGTTAGTACATTCAGTATATTTGAGTATAATCTTTCAGGTTTTCATGTTTTGCGTGCATTGAAAGGCCATAAAAATTCCTGAGTAGCTTTAGCCACATCCCAGATCTCTCATTGTCATTCTTTTCATTACCATTCATGGTAACTGCATGATTTATTTCCTTGTTAACCAAGAGTAATTTGGCTTTTTTCTTTTTAATTTCCAAGAAAATTAAAACTTTTGGCTATTGTTAAAGTTATGACACTGTGGTTAGAAAATGTGATTCTAGAATGTGTTAGAGACAAAATTTTTTCCAACCTTTCCTTGCTTCTTTGACAAACATGGTCTAAACATTTTACATCCATGAAGTTTTTCTTCAGTATGAATATTATGACAAAGGACAGAGGAGAGCTCTGGCTGAAGGCATGCTCACTTGAATGAATAATTTGTGCTTAGCCTAAGCTAGTGGGCTCTTCCCATTACTTCCATTCACATGGTTGCTTGCTAACATAAATTCTCTGATGATTAATAAGGGATAAGTGCTGATGGAGGGCTTTTCTACATTTATTATATCCACTTGTGTTTCTTTATTATGCACCTTTAGATGTTGAATAGTTGAATCATGATTTATAGTCCTCTCACATTCCTTATATTCATAAGGCTTTTCCTCAGTATGAATTACCTGATGTTGAATCAGTTGTGAACAATGACTAAAGGCCTTCCCACATTCCTTACATTCATATGGTTTCTCACCCGTATGAATTCTATAATGTACAGTAAGATGGGAGACCCGTTTGAAAGCCCTACCACAGACCTTACATTGGTAGGGTTTCTCTCCAGTGTGAATTCTCTGATGTTGCTTAAGTTGTGAGCTCACCCTAAAGGTTTTCCCACATGCCTTACATTCATAGGGTTTTTCACCAGTATGAATTCTCTGATGTCGAATAAGAGTTGAGCCTTGATTAAAGGCCTTCCCACATTCCTTACATTCATAGAGTTTCTTGCCAGTATGAATAGTCTGATGTTGAATTAACTGAGACCGATGACTAAAGGTCTTCCCACATTCCTTGCATGCATAGGGTTTTTCACCAGTATGAATTCTGTAATGTACTTTAAGATGTGAGATCCGATTGAAGGCCTTGCCACATTCCTTACATTGATAGGGTTTCTCGCCAGTATGAATTCGCTGATGTTCAATCAGCTGTGAGCTTCGACTAAAGGCCTTTGCACAGTCCTTACATTCATAAGGTTTCTCACCAGTATGAACTCTCTGATGTTGTATGAAATTTGAGCCAGAATTGAAGGCCTTTCCACATTCCTTACATTCATAGGGTTTCTTGCCAGAATGAATATTCTCATGTTGAATTAGTCGTGAGCCATATTTAAAGGCCTTCCCACATTCCTTACATTTATAGGGTTTCTCATTACTATGAATTCCTTGATGATTAATAAGGAGGTCCTCTTGCCAGAAGTCTTTTCTACATTCATTATATCCATAGGGTTTTTCTCCAGTATGAATTTTGTGATAAAAAGTAAGGGATGCTTGCTGGTCGAAAGTAGACATTTCTTCATGACTGATTATCATTTGACTCAAATGTCCATCTGGATTTCCCTGTTGTCTGTCAAGGTGGCTTCTGCATTCCCAATCATCTTGGAAGCTCAAGCACTCAAGACCATAACTTGTAAGGCTTTCCATTATCTCCCACCGGGGTGACTGTGTTTCATAAATGTGCTGCTTTGGAGATAATTCCTTGGTATCATACCTGGACTCCAATACTGAAAAAGAACAAAACAGCAACTATGTGTTTGCTTTTTCCTTTTGCAGAAAAAGGAACTTCTATAGTAAAAACTAGAAAGTTTAGACTTAATACCTATAAACTCTTGAATGTGTCTAAGCAATTAGGAAATGGACGAGTAGAACAGAGAAAGAGGAAATACCATAAATTGAGAGGAAGTAATCAGAGAGAAAGACTCTATAAGGGTAGTTCTAAAATGTTAGTGTGGATCAGAATCATCTCTGAACCATGTTTTAAAAAAAAATGAGTGTTTCTGTGAAAACCTAGAAAAGACAAATATAACCTAGAGTGACAGAAAACAAATTGTTGGTTACCTGGGGCTAGGCTATGAGCAACTATGTGGGAGGAGCACAAGGGAACCTTTCAGGGTGATGAAAATGTTCCCTATCTGGTCTGTAGTGGTAGTTACGTAACTGTATACATTTGATAATACTCATAAAAATATTATACTTAAAATGCATGCATTTTGTTGAATATAAATTATATCTCAATAAAGTTGATTTTAAAAAATGATGGAGGGGGGTGGCTGGATCCTTGTCTGGTCAGAGGAACACAGTGGTGCATATGCTTGCCAGCGGATGTGGTGGTACAGGAGGCCATTCGCACACATCCACTGGAAGGTGTAATAACACATCTGTGGTCTTCTGTTGTGATGCTTTCTATCTCTGAAGTTTAGCTGAACATCATAGCTAGAGCTAGTGTCAACTGGACCAGCCTCTCCTGGATCTTTCCACTGCCTGAAGGTGACCTTGGGAAAAGCAGTCTTGTTCCTTGTTTAAGAGGATTAGGCTCCAGTTTATTGGGGATTGCCTCTTCCAGAACATTCTTTGCCGCTTATTCAAACTGCAAGGAAAAGTTGAATGGTGTATTTGATCCTGATTCTGCCCCATGCATGGTTTTGGCTGCAGTGGCTTATTTTACTACAATCACAGCAACCAATCCCATTTGGCTACTAAAGAGTTGGTTACAGCCTGATGCAAGGAACCATGGGAAAAAGCAAATGGGTGCTTTTGAATGTGCTCATGAAGTGTATTAGACAGATGACCCAAGAGGACTTTATAGGGGCATGTCTGCTTCATATGGTAGCATATCAGGGACTGTTATTCATTTGGTTATTTGTGAAAATATTAAGCAGAAACTACTGGAATAAAAGATTACTTCGATGATGGAAGATGATAAGGAGTCTGTGAAAGAAGCATCATTTTGTGAGAATGATCTTGTGTCACCTCAGAAACCTGTGCCACAATCACAGTGCATCCATGTGAAGCTGTAACAAGACTATGTGAAGAGGGCACAAAGTAAAGATATTTTTTCAAACACCACGTTTGGTTGTTCAAGAGGAAGGTTAGGGGTCTCTTTACTATGGTCTAACAACTTTGGTCAGACAGATTCCAAACAGCCATTATGTTGGCTACCTATGAACTGGTGGTCAGTTTACTCAATGGTTAGCAACATCCAACTGCCATCCTATAAAGAAGGACAACCAAAAGATTGCAGTGGACCATGGAATATTAAAGCCAGCTTGGTGGACAGAAGAAAATTAGTTTGGGAACATGTAACTATGCCCAAATGGAAGTTTGGTTTTAGGAATTAAAGTGATCACACACTCCTTGGTCTTTTTGGCAATGTCAGGGCCAACCCAGTGGCGTAGCAGTTAAGTTCACATGCTCTGCTTTGGCGGCCTGAGGTTCACTGGTTCAGATCCCAGGCACAGACCTATACCCCACTCATCAAGCCATGCTGTAGCAAGCATCCCACATATAAAGTAGAGGAAGCTGGGAATGGATGTTAGTTCAGGGCCAGTCTTCCTCAAAAAAAACCCCCCAAAACAAAACCAAAAAACCCTCAGCTGCCCCTACAGGCATAAACTAAAAGCACTCCTCTCTCCAAACTGCCACTTTTTCTACCACAGACACCTAACACAGTTGAGTTTTGTTGATTTATGGCAGTCAGAGTATAGTATTGTTTATTCCATGAGCACTTCTGCACTCATCTAAATTAAGATAGTACTGACAGTCATAATTTTCTAACTTCTGGCTTCTGTTCAACTCCCTGTAGAGTTGCAAAATAGCAATAAAAGAAGTGAGGTCCTCTGTATTATTTTCACATTTTCCTGACAGGACCTGACAGAGTTATTTTAAAAGTTAATTATATAACATTAATAGTCACTGTTTTTGGACAACCAATTAAATAATGTCTACAAATCTTATGTACAGTCTTAGCATTAAAATGTTTGGTTTCATCATATGCAACCTCAAGGGATCCCAAATGGCCAAAATAATCTTGAAGAACAAAGTTGGTCTCACATTTCCTTATTTCAAAACATATTACAATGCTACAGTAATCAAAACAGTGTGGTACTGGCATAAACGCAAACATACAGACCAATGGAACAGAATAAAGAACCCAGAAATAAACCTTTATGCATATGGTCAAATGATCTTCAAAAAGGGTGCCAATGGATGTTAGCTCAGGGCCAGTCTTCCTCAGCAAAAAGAGGAGGAATGGCAGCAGTTAGCTCAGGGCTAACCTTCCTCAAAAAAAAAAAAAAAGGGTGCCAAGACCACAAAATGGGGAAAGAATAGTCTCTTCAACAAATGGTGCTGAGGCAATTGGATATGCACATGCAAAAGAATGAAGCAGGACCCTTACCTTACACCATATACAAAAATTAACTCAAAATGGATTAATGACCTAAATGTAAAACCTAAAACTGTAAAGCTCCTAGAAGAAAACATAGGAGGAAAGCTTCATGACATTGCATTTGGCAATGATTTCTTGGATATGGCACCAAAAACACAGGCACCGAAAGCAAAAACAGACAAGTGGAACTACTAATCATCACTATCATTAGAAAAATGCATACCAAAACTAAGAGATATTTCCTCACAGCTATTAGGATGGCCACTATCCAAAAAAAAAAAAAAAAAAAGACCAGAAAACAACAAGTCTTGACAAAGATGTGAAGAAATTGGAACCCTTTGGTGGAAATGTAAAATGGTGCAGTCCGTATGGAAAACAGTATGGTGGCTCCTAAAATAATTGAAAACAGAATTACCACATATGATCCAGAAATTCTCTTCTGGGTATATATCTGAATGAACAGAAAGCAGAATCTGCAAGAGATATCTACACTTCCATGTTTGTTGCAACATTATTCACAAAAGCCAAGAGGTGGAAGCAACCCAAATGTCCATCAACAGATTAATGGATAAAAAAATCGTGGCTGGGGCCAGCCCTGAGGCATCTGGCATGCTCCGCTTCAGTGGCCCAGGTTCATGGGTTTGGATCCCGGGTGCAGACCTACACCACTCAACAAGCCATGCTGTGGTGGCACCCCACATACAAAATAGAAGAAAATGGGGACAGCTGTTAGCTCTGGGGCTAATCTTCCTCAGGCAAAAAAAAAAAAAGAGGAAGACTGGCAACAGATGTTAGCTCAGAGCAAATCTTCCTCACTAAAAAAAAAAAAAAAAAAAACCTGGCATATACATACAGCCTTAAAATGGAAGGAAATCCTGTCACATGCTACAATATGGATGAACCTAAAGGACATAATGCTAAGTGACAGAAGCTAGACAGAAAAGACCCCATATTATACGATTCTGTTTATGTGAAATATCCACAAAAAGCAAATCCATAGAGACAGAAGGCAGATCAGTGGTTGCCAGGAGCTGGGGGGAGGCAGAAATAAAGAATGACTGCTTAATGGCTACAGGGTTTCCTTTTGGGGGTATGTCTAGGAAAAACACACTTCTCAACACAGCTCTGCTCTCCATACTTTACTTCTGACACTTTTGGTCACCAAATATGTGTGGGTTTTTCCCTCACACCAAGCAATTCTCCAACTCTCTGGCAGATACTGACTGGGCGACTTACAAATTTAAGTCAATTCTGACACTATCTGTGTCAGATCCCACAGACTAAGGGCTCAGTCCCACAAGACTGCCTCTGCCTGCCCCATAAATTGGAGGTTCCCATGACCCCCTTCCTGGGGTTCAATCATTTACTAGAACGGCTCACAGAATTCAGGAAAACAGTGTACTTACTAGACTACCAGTTTATTACAAAGGATGTAACTCAGGAACAGCCAGATGGAAGAGAGGCACAGGGCAAGACATGGGGGAAAGGACGTGGAGCTTCCATGCTGTGTCTGGGTGCCACCCTCCCAGCACCTCCGTGTGTTCCCCAAACTGCAGGCTCTCTGAACCCCATACTTTAGGGGTTTTTATGGAAGTTTCATAACATAGGCATCACTGATTAAATCACTGGCCAGTAGTGATTAACTCAACCTCCAGCCCCTGTCCCCTCCCTGAAGGTTGCGGGGTGGAGCTGAAAGTTCCAACCCTCTCATTGCATAATTAGTTCCCCTCTCAACCAGCCCTCATCCTGAAGCTATCCAGGAGATCCCAGCCACTAGTCATCTCCTTAGCATATAAGGAGATACTTATGCCTTCAGAGAGTCCAAGGGTTTTAAGAGCTGTGTGCCAAACAGAGATGAAGACCAAAAATATATTTCTTGTTATAAATCACAATATCACAGGGTGATAAAAATATTCTGACACTAGATAATGGTGACAGTTGTACAACACTGTATATATAATAAATGCCAATAAACTATACACTTTAGGAAGGTGAATTTTGTTATATATATTTTACTGTAACTTAAAAAAAAATTAAAAAGGAACACTTTCCAGAAAAATTATAAATTACCACAATTGGCTCAAGAATGCAACACTTGAATGTTTATAGAGTCGTTATTCAGTATTAGGAGTTTAGTATTAGGTCTACTCATACAATCCAGAGTTTATAGATTGAAAGAAAAAAACTTAAAATATGAAAAGGTGAGTATTTTTTTAACCTAATAAAATATCCCTATCTCATTCCTAAATCTGATATTATGCTTAATGAGAAGACACTAAAAATATTCCTATAGGTTGAGAACAAGATTAATATGTAAATATCGCCATTAACATTGTTCTGGGAGTACTACATAATCAGCATCCTAATCAAGCAAGAGAGAAAAATCTCAGAGGTAGAAAATGCAAAAACGTTTTCACTATTTGCAGATGATATAATTGAATACTTGGAGTGCTCAAGAGAATTATGTGAAAAACTGTCATAAACAGAAAATTCAGTAAGTTGGGTTAGCTACAAAATTAATCTGAAGATATAAATGGCTTTTGTCATATATAAAAAATAACAAGTTGGAGTATACTGTGGATGAATGCCATATTATATTATGGATTATGCCATTTCCAATAGCAGCAATAAATATAAAATACCAAAGAATAAATGTAGTAAGAAATGTACAAGATCTATATAAAGAAAATGTTAAAACCTTCATCAGGGATGGACATCAATGAAGGGAAAAGCCTATTGTGTTCTTCAAGAGAAGACGCTACATAATAAATCAGTTTTCTCCCAAATGAATCTATAAATTTACCATGATCTCAGTAAATTTATAATTTACTAATTACAACAAGTAAAAAAAAAATTATATAATTTTGTTTTTGGAAATCAGTATTCTGACTCTAAAGTTCAGCTCAGGGGCTGGCCCAGTGGCATCGCGGTTAAGTTCGCATGCTCTGCTTTGGTGGCCTGAGATTTGCTCATTTGGATCCTGGGCACAGACCTACACACCACTCATCAAGCCATGCTGTGGCGGCATCCTACACAGAAGAACTAGAAGGATTTACAACTAGGATATACAACTATGTACTGGGGCTTTGGGGAGAAAAAAGAAGATTGGCAACAGATGTTAGCTTAGGACCAATCTTCCTCACCAAAAAAGGATACCTTAAAATAAATACATAAATAAAGTTCAGCTGGAAAAATAAATGAGACTAGCCAAGAAAATTCTGAAAATAAGAATGAAGAGGGACTAATTCTACTGGATATTTAAAATACATTTAAACCCTCAATAATTAAAACAGTATGGGATGGACACACATGGTTAGAGAGATTAAGGAGGTAGAATAAAAAGTCCAAAAATAGATCCAAATACAGTGTTACAACAGCAGATGATAAAGGTGGCTCTACAGACAGTGGTAAAACGATCAAGTTAGTTAATAAATGCTGTTTGAATAACTCCATAACAATCTGGAAAGCAACGTGAAATCACAACTTAAGAGTGGGATAAATTCCATACAGATCATAAATAACATCATAAATAAATTAGAGAAAATCATAGGAGACTCGTTTTATAACCTCAGAAGGGGAAGTCCTCTTTAAATATGACACAAACCCACACATCTAAGGAGTAAAAAAATTGAGCACCTCAAACAAATATGTGCCGTCACAACTCAAAAGACAAAACAAAAGCACAAATCTATTCTCTGACACTATAGGGGTGGTGGGCAGAATAACAGCCCCCGAAGCTGCCCACGTCCTCATCCCTGGCACCGTGAGTATGGGAGGTGACACGGCAGCACATGCCTTCTCTCCCAGTGCTCACTCCACAGCTGACCTCACCCACTCCCAGGGGCCGATGACCATGTCAGTGTGGATGAATCGACCATACCTGTAATGCTTAGTTCTTTGCTCCCCATCTGAAATTCTCTTACAGTTCACTGTACTTTGTGGAAACTGTTTATCGATATGTTTTTGGTCTCATGTCACACTGTAACTTTGGTTCTCAGTCAGGGAAGATTCTCCCCACAGGAGACATCTGGCAATGTCTGGAGATGTTGATGGTTGTCACAAATGAGGGGAGGGGTCTACTGGCATCTAGTGAATAGAGTCCAGGGAGGCTGCTAAACATCCTGTAATGCACAGGATAGCCCCCACGACAAAGAGTTATCTCGCCCAAAATGTCAACACTGCTGAGGTTGAGAAACCCCCACTCAGAGCAGGAGCACCCCAGGCAGAGGGGACAGTGAGGGAAGAGGCCCCGAGACAGAAGCCTGCTTGCCATGCCAAAGCTGGGGCTGGTAAACTCGTATCATCTGCTTTCGAGCTACCACGGCAGAGCTGGGTAGCTGTGACAGAGACCAGACAGCTGGCAAAGCCTAAAATATTTACAGTCCAGCCCTTTAAAGAAAACACTGGCCAACCCCTATGTGAAAGAAACAGCAAAGAGGCTTGTGTGGCTGTAACGGAATGAGCAACAGGGAGAGTGGCAGGAGATGAAATCAGAGGGGAGGCAGATCATACAGAGCAACACAGACCAACAGAACTTTCTGTGATACTAATATGTTCTAGTCTGTGCTGTCCAATATGGCAGCCACCAGCCACACATGGCTACTGAGCATCTGAAATGCGGCCAGGGTGACTGTGGAATGGAATGTTACATTTTATTTAGTTTTAGTTAGAACTAAAATTTAAATGGCACATGTGGCTGGTGGCTTCTATATTGGACAAAGACATAGCGCTTGCTAGTCCATGGTATCAATTTTGGGGTTTCTCTTAAGTGAAATGGGGTGTCTTTGGCAGGTTTTGAGCAGGATACATCCTCGCTGAAGTTTTGTTTTGTTTCAAATATTTTTTTTTGGTGAGGAAGATAGGCCATGAGATAACATCTCTTGCCAATCTTCCTCTGTTTTTTGCTCTCCCCAAAGCCCCAGTACATAGTTGTATATCCTAGTTGTAGGTCATTCTAGTTCTTTGTAGGATACCGCTACAGGATGGCTTGATGAGCAGTGTGTAGGTCCGCGCCCAGGATCAGAACTGGCAAACCCTGGGCTGCTGAAGCAGAGCATGTGAACTTAACCACTCAGCCACAGGGCTGGCCCCTCTCACTGAAGTTTTGAGAAGGTCAGTCTGGCTGCTGTGTGGATAATACAATGTAGTGGACAAAAGTGGAAGCAGAGGACGGGGAGGAGGCTACTGCAATAGTCCAAGCCAAAGATGACGGTAGTGTGGATGTGCATGGTAGCAGTGGTGTTGGTGAGAAGTAGTTAAATTCTGGATATATTTTGAGGTAGAGCTAACAGGATTTGCTGACAGACTGACTAAGAGTGTAAGAGAGGAGTCAAGGATGCTTCAAGAGTATTTGACTTGAGTAAGTAGTAGAATCGAGTCCCCTGTTAGTAAAGTGCAGAAGAAAGGGGAAGAGTAGATTTGCTAGGGAGGATCGAGGACTCCCTTTTGGACTTGTTAAGTTCGAAGTACCTGGTGAACATCCAAGTGGACATGATGAGAAGGCGTTGGTTATACGTATCTGGGGTTTCAGGGAGAAGCTGAAGGTGAAGGTAGTAACTCAGGCTGTCCAACAGAACTTTTGGCAATGATGGAAATGTTCTGTATCTGCGTTATTCGATACAAAGTGGCTACTAAACATTTGAAATATGACAAGTGCAACGGAGGTAATGAATTTTAAAATGTATTTAATTGTAATTAATTTAAATGTCAATAGCCACAGGAGGCCAGTAGCTCCATATTAGACAGCACAGGTATGAATGGTATTTATAGCTTGGTAATGGAGGTCCTGGGGAATGGAAATAAACAGAAAAGAAGAGGCTGAAGTCTGAGACCTGGGGTGCTCAAACATTTAGAAATGGTGAGAAGATCCAAGAAAGAAGGCTGAGGATGGTTTTTTGTTTTTTGGTGAGGAAGATTTGCCACAAGCCAACATCCATTGCCAGTCTTCCTTTTTTTCTTTTTATGTGGGCTACCACCACAGCATGGCTGCTAACAGACGAGTGGTATAGGTCCGCGCCTGGGAACTGAACCCAGGCTGCCAAAGCAGAGCACGCCAAACTTAACCAATAGGCTACTGGGGCTGGCCCCTGAGGATGGCTTATGATGTAGGCAAGAACAAGAGGTAGTGATGACCCAAACACACAGAACTATTTCAGGAAGGAAGAGGCAACCACTTTTGTCAAATGCTGCTGACAAGCTAAGGAAGATGATGACTGGGATCTGACCTCTGAGTTTGGCAACTTGGAAAATTTTCTAACTCAAAGGGCCTGCTTCCTTGCAGACCACCTGGATGGTTATCTGCGATGGCTTCTCTCTCCCCACACAGGCCTCACTCACCTGGGCACAGGCCTCCTGTCGCCACTTTCTCCACCATCCAGGGCTCTTTGCCTTGCTCCAAGAAGGAGATCACATCAGGTTTGGAAATGGCAAGACCTGGATTTGAAGAAAAAACATGCCACTGGGTTATGGTGTGGGTCCCCAGAATTATGATGCAGGGCCTGGTCATCAATCAGGAAAGGCAGTTGCAAGAAGAGCCAGGAAAAGATGTGACAGTCACCTGAGGGTTAGGGAAGATGTAGCTTCAGCCCATGGAGCTGCCTTTTAACCGCTCAAAAGGCACCCCGAAATTGACAAGGAAGGAACACAAGTGCCCGAGGGTAATGTCCAAATTAAGAGGCCAGGTCACCTTACCCAGTGAGACAAGGTTGCTATAGGTTTCCAACATCACGTCTCTGTACAAATCCCTCTGAGCAGGTGCCAGCCATTCCCACTCTTCTTGGGAGAAGACTACAGCCACATCCCTGAACAAGTCTGACCCCTGGAACAACAGGCAGGTGTGATATATGCATATTTCAAGGAAATGTTTCTCGGTGGGATGAGAGGAGATGGAGGGGGTCTTTGCAGGAATGGGTGTTCTGGTGAAAAGGAAGGCTGGAGGCCTCCAAAGTGAACACGTGACAGGAGAAAATGGGCCTGAGTAAAACAGAATGTTCAAATGCTCTTGAACTTTCCTTTTTACTACAAACCAAAGCTCTTATACCCAGGTCTGGGATGAAAATTAAAACCCAGCAAAATGGAGTTTTCCCAATTTTGACAAAAACAGTGTAATAAAGCACATGGCCTACTCTGTCCTTGGCATGTCTACAGTCTCAATGTGAAACCTATAATTTCTACTTTTATGGAATAATCAAAAAGGCCAGACCAACAATTTTTGATAGACTTACCCCTGAATATTCTATTAAAGAAATATTTTCTATCTTAGAAAATAGGATTTTCATGTAAGTTGAGAATTGCTTGAAGACATAGATTCATCATTATGTCAGAACATATCACAAGTATTTTTCCTTATGAGAAAATTCCTGAACTAAGATTACTTTTACTAGCTGTACAATTTTCTATCTAGTGGAAAAAATGACTTAACTCTTCTCTTGTTTTCAATGCAAAGATTGGATCGGATCTCTGAAGGCTCTTCCGAGCACTGACTATCCAGATTCTGAACGATTCAGCCCTCTCGCTGATGGTCTCCCAGTCCCTAGCTCTGCCCTTCTCTTGCTCTTAAGCTGAAGAAGCTGATGGAAAATGACCCAGATTCAAATGCTCTGTTCAACCCCAAAGTGGACCTTAATCCTGGCATCTAATCTCTCAAGAATTCCCAGCTGAGCCTCAAGTACACACCCAACCATCAATACCTCCCAAAGCAGGAGACTGAGCCCTACACTGAAATCGAGACCAACCAAGACCTGTTCCCTTGCTTTCCTATGGGATGTTCCTCATAAGTATTCATCTCTATTTCATCAAACCTCGGTTCCTCTAAGGGATGCTCTCAAGTTATACAGGGAAATGATTTCTGCTCCATCTGGCCTCCTGGCAGAATGACAAGCCATCAGAAGATGTGGGATGCTATACAGAATAAATCCATGGGCATTGGTCAGAGTGGAGAGGGCAAGGGGAGAGGGTACTAGCTGCCTGGTTTTTTAATTCCTGAAAATGGGAACCTCTGAGAACCAGATTCCTGGATAAAACCAGGTGAGAAGCTTCAGGATAAGGAAAGCAAATATTTACATGATTTTAAAACTCACGAGGGACATGACTTTTAGAATTCCATGGGCTGATGGGTCGTCCTCCTGGTTCCTCTTGGGGAAGGGCAGAGTCCTGAGATGGCAGAGCTGGAGGAGGAAAGAGCAAACATGAGGCCAGGCTTGCCTCACAGCTCCCAGAATGCCACAGTTACAAGTAAACCCTTAACTCCCACCCCCACAAAAACTAGAGAGAGTTAAGACAAACTGTGGCCCTCACCCAATTCCAGGAAACCCAGTTTTAACTCCTGCAAGGAGACAGGGAACCAGTGGCTCTTTCTCTCCCATTTCCCCTAAATACCCAGAGAACTCCATCTTGTTACTGATGCAAATCTGAGGTTGGGATGCTCACACCTGGGACAGTGACTGAGATCACATGGTGTCCCAAGGACAAGGAAGGCTGTCCTCAGGCCAGGGAGCACAGTCTGCCTGAACTGCATCAGCCCAGCCCACAACGAAGCCTTTCCAGAACCAGACCATTTAACTCTCTCATGCCCACAATGTAACGCCCTCAAGTCTCCCTGGCTCTTTATCCAACTTCCAAATTCACAAAGAACCCCACAGCACTACCTAAGGCCTGTTGGACGCCACTTTGTGGACCCTGCCTTGAGTCAACAAATGGGGTGTGGTTGCAATGGGCAAATTAGATGGAGCAGGCCCAGTATTCCATTACCATCACATAAATATGCCCCTGCACGGAGACATTACAGTGAGCAAAGCTGAATGCACAATATTTGCTGAAACACAAAATTAGTACATAACAGTCCTTGACAAGTAGGCAAGTGGTTGAATCATTTTTGGCACAGCCGTATGACAGATGCCAAGCAACTATCAAAAATGATGTGGGGCAACATTAACCCACAATGAAAGATATTCACAACTGGACCCTTTGTACAACATGAGAACATTCAGCAAAAGAAGTCAAACCCACCCACCTACTAACATGAGCTAAAAACCCAAAAAACAAAAACAAAACTGGAATAGAAAATATCCAAGTATTAAGACAGATGTCATTTAACCACTTCTTGAGTTCATCATTATACTAGTAGCATTTTATAAAGGAACTTAGGACAGTGCCTGGCATGTTACAAATATTTAATTCTAAATGTGTAAATGAGATAATTATGAACCTTAATATCATGTAATAGGCATTTTTCCTTACTATGACCACTGTTTCAGCATTATTTGTATTAGCTGTATAATGTTTTATTGTATGAGTGGCCCGTGATTTACTCAACCATTTCCCTCTTGTTGGACATAGATTTTGAACAAGATTATCTAAAATGTTCCCAAGTATAAGCCTCTGCTTCTAAACTAGTGGTTCCAAATCTTTTGGGGTCTTGCTCTTTGAGAATCTCATGAAACAAGACTTCGTCCCAGATTTGGAAAAAAAAAAAAAAGACACGCGTAAAAATGAATGTAAAACATCCACAGGCATTTTCAGGGGGTTGGGACCCCTCCACACCACCTAGAGGCTCCAAGGACCCGCGCTATGAGCCTAGACGCAGAAAGGGAGCGCTAGCGGGGGCCGATGGGAAATGTAGTCCAGAGCCGGGAAAGCCGCAGACCGACGCTGGGGCGAGACGTTCCGGTTCTTCCCAGGCCCGAGTCCCGCCCGACCGCGGCGCCCCCTCCCGCAAGGACCTCGGAGCGTCTGGCACGCTCCAAAGCCCCTCACCTGCCGCCACCTCAGATCCAGGTGCCACCACAGTCGCGCCTCCCGTAACCCCGCGCGCGCTTTCCCCTCGGCACCGGCGGACCTGCCGCCTGGAGCCGGAAGACGGCGCAGACGCACAACACCCCGCCGGTGCTGCGTCGCGATTGGGCCAGCTCCGCAGTCTCTTCTGGGAAACGTAGTTTCTAGGAGTAAAGGCCGAAGTGAAGCCCCAAAGCGGATCTCGCGATGTTTCGGGGTGGGCGGGGCCCGTGCGCGTGTGGGGGACCCTGGGGGACTCGACGGAGCTGTTCGATGGCAGCGGTCGCCGTGCGAAGGTCTGTGTCGTGGCGGGTGCGGCCTGCGCGGGATCCTCTCTCTGATTGCGGGTGACTGTGGGTCACCGTGTGTGCGGGGTTCCTGTGACGGTGCCTGTCGTTTCTGGTTCTGACTTGGTCGTTGAGTGTGTGACCGGAGCCCCTCAGCGCTGGCTGCACGCTGGCGTGTGACTGTGAAACCTGTGTCTGTGTGAAATTTTTCTCACCTATTAAATCACCATTTCCGTGGAGCAGCCATTTTACCAGGAGGTTTGGAGGGAGGAAAAAGCCCAAGAGTTTATCTGGTAACTAGTTTTAAGCCTTCCATCTAAGCCGAAATAAATGTAGATCGTGAGGGGGAATGCAAAAGCGGCAGGTGTGTTTTCAATGCGATGCAAGGAGTTTTCTGTTATGAGGTGACGTGTCTCGGCCAAGTCCCCTCCTGCCACAGGGGCTCACCTCTGGGGTGTGAGGGTGTGAGAAGCCCTGGACTCGACTCGTCCTGTCCGTCGGGGTCCGGGGTCCCCGTGCTGGTCGGGCCCGTCCTGCCTGGTCTCCGAGGGGAAAGGTTCCCTGTGGTACCTTTGTCCTCGAGCCGGGCCCAGCGTCCTGAGCTCTGGTCTCTGGGTTTGATCTTGTTTCCGTTAGAACATGTACTCTTGTGCCTGCCTTCTTGAAACGTTTTATCTGACATTTGTTCGTGTCCATGTTGCTGCAAGGATGTCAGTTCCTCTAAGTTAGTTTAGAAATTTAATTTAAACCCAACAAAAATGCCAACGCTGTCTTTCACCTTGGAAATACACAAGTTGACACTAAAGGTCAAATAAAAAAATAAACATGCGAGAATGGCTGGGAATACTCCAAGAAAGGAAAGATGTGAGATGTGCTGACGCTGCCAGATATTAAAGCATTCTAGAAAGCTTCTATAATTATAACTGCGGTATTGGCTCAGGAATTGTCAGACCAGTAGAAGAGAGTAGAAAGTCCAGAAACATTATCAAATACAGAGGGAAATTTAGTGTATAATAAGGGCGGCAAATCATTGGGGTAAAAATGGACTTTTTAATAAATAATCTTGGAGAATAACTGGATAGTCATTTGGAAAAAGAAAATTGGACTCATACCTCACATCATGCAAAAGAATAAGCCCCAAATTGATCAGAGGTCTAAATTAAACCATACAGGTACCAGACGTGTACAGAGATGAGTTCCATATAGCCTGGATGTATGGAAAAACTATGACTCAAAAGTCCAGATTTAAAGATTGCTATCTTTGAGAACATAAAACTAAAGCACTTTTATAAGGCAAAATGCACCAAAAGTAAAGGCAAAAGACAAATGACAAACAAAAGATATTTATGACTCTATATATTTCAGATAAGGAGCTAGTAGTCCTAATGTATAACAACAAAAAACAAAACAAAAAATGCAAATAACTTCTGACCTCAGCTTAGATTTTTTTGGTAATAGCATTGTGGTGGCGATTTGGAAACTATTTTGTATACATTGTAAGATTGATCACGTGAATAAATATACTGTATTGGTTTGTTGGGAGCCAGTGTTTTACTGTGGGAGAAGAGAAATAGAAAGCAAGCGTAAAACCTGTGGTGTTGAATTCGTGTGAACTCATCATTAAAAATGTGTGTACCTCACCCAGGTGATAAGGTTAATAGCCATAGTGATGTCATCCTGATAGCAAGTACTTTTGATAAGATGTGATGAAAATGGCACCTTACTTCTATGGTCTTCCTCTCAAAAACACATAACACCAGTCTAATGACAAAACATCAAATAAATGCCAATTCAGGAAAATTCTACAAAATATCTGACCAGGGGCTGTCCCGGCGGCCTGGTGGTTAAGTTCATGTGCTCCGCTTCTGTGGCCTGGTATTTGCAGGTTTGGATCCAAGGCACGGACCTAGCACTGCTCGAACCACCCTGTGGCAGCATCCTACATACAAAATAGAGGGAGATTGGCACAGATGTTAGCTCAGAGCCAATCTCCCTCACACACACACACAAATGTATCTGATTAGAACCCCTCAAAACTGTGAAAGTCATTAAAAACGGAAATTCTGAGCAACCATCACAACCAAGAGGCGCCTAAGGGGACATGACTACTATAAATATTGTGGTATCCTGGATGAGATCCTTGAACAAAAAAAGGACATTAGATAAAAACTAAGAAAAAATAAAGTGTGGACTTTAGTTAATAATAATGTATCAATGTTGCTTCATTAATTTTACCAAAAATACCATACTAATATAAGATGTTAAAGGTAGGGGAAACTGGGTGCAGGGTATATGGAAACTCTGTATCATCTTTGCAATTTTTCTGTAAATCAAAAACTTCTAAAATAAAGTTTATTTAATTCATTAAAAAAATAAACTCATTAGTCTCATTATTGCTTTAAGAAAAAGTGTTTATGTGTTTGTATATTTTCTGTTTCTCTTTGGTGAATGGGCCTAGAAGCAATGATGCCCCAGTATCAATGATACTTATTGTCCATACCTAGTGTCCAGACCTTGGCTTGTAAGTTCCATTCTCTAATGAAAGGAACCAAAGCTTCTTGGAGAAATGTCTGATGCCAGGATTGGGGCGGGGAAAGTATAAGATGAGTATGGAATATCTTGTGCTAAAAAGTAAGGAAATGCTCAAAAAATATCACGGAGGATTCCCTGCTTCTAACTATGATGCTGTAATAGTACTAAACTTGTCGTCCCACTTTATAAGCAAATAGAAAACTAGATCATATGTAGGAAACAAGTCATTTCAGACATTGGACAACTGGTAGTGCCGGACTCTGATCCCTGCAAGAGAAGGAAATAAATGAGCTCGTACAATTACAGTGGCTTTCTCTGTGAAGGCGTATTCCAGACCGCAATGCAGGGAGGAGGAACCCAAGCAAAGCAGAACAGATATGCTAAGTTGAGACAAATAACAGAGCTTGGGGAAACTGAAGTGATTGGAATTTGCTGAGCCACAGGGCTGGCCCCCTAAACTATTATGTTTTTTGATTACTGAGTTTTCTTGGTGCCCCCTTAAATGTCACGCCTGAAGGAGTGCTTCTCATCTCACTCCTGTTGGCCTTGGCTTGAGCATGTTTGAAGGAGGGAAGGAAGGGTGAGAGGACAAATGCCCTGCTGTGTCTAATTAAACTCCCACTATTCTCAGGATCCTGTCCCTTTTGTTCTTCAAGAAAAGTTTTCTTCTCACCTCTTTGAAAGACTCCTTGGTGTTGAGAAGCTGTCTGATTCCAACATTCCCAAACTAATCATATTAAAAGCTGTGCTTTGTGCTTCACATATATTTACAGTATGAAACAGGTATTTTCCTCGTTTTGTATATGAAGTAAATGGAGATGGAGAGAGGTTAAATGACTTGCTAAAGGACGCAGCTGGTGGAGCGGATGAGTTGGTATTTCCACCAAACCAGACCTCAGCACCTGTGGGTGGAGGAAATGCTACCTCTGCCTCTTTTGTCTGTTTTTGGTGAGGAAGATTAGCCCTGAGCTCATATCTGTTGCCAATCTTTCTGTTTTTGCTGAGGAAGATTATCCCTGAACTAACATCTGTGCCGCTCTTCCGCTGTTTTGTACGTGGGACACCACCACACGGTGGCTTGATGTGTGGTGTGTAAGTCTGTGCCTGGGATCCAAACCTGCAAACCCTGGGCCGCTGAAGCGGAGTGTGCGAACTTAACCACTGTACCACTGGGCTGGCCCCTGCCTCTGCCTTCTGAGTGGTGAGTGAGCCAATGTGGTGGAACCTTGGAGAAAGCGTCTTCAGAGAGGACCTTTGCTTCATGATGTCACAAAGGCCACGAGGCCTCATGGAAACTGAACCAAATAAAGAGACTGGAGCTCTGGACTCTGGGCTGGAACCTGGAGGAGATGGAATGAGAGGGTGCCCAAAGGAGAGTCACTGGGCCATTCCAGACTTGTACTAGGCCGGACACTTCCAAGAAAACCACAAAGGATGGAATTAATATCAATGTTTCTGGTCAGTCCTGTAGGGTTGGCTGGGTCTCATAAGGCTGTGAGTGTCAGGCAGCTGGGTGACGTAACTGGGAACAAATTTGGACAGGACCACATACTGAGGCTGAAGGCGAGGAACCCCAGATCCCCAAGTAGGGAGAGGTTGTTTGTGGCTGGCCAGTATGACAGAACAGACTCAGATCAGGCAGATAGGTTGCCTTCTCTGCTTGTCTTGACCTGTGGGGCTCTGGACTACATTTCCTAGAAGGGACTGCGGCTCTGGGCCAACCGTCTCTCTCTTCCGCTGAATGACCACCTGAGGCCTAATCTAGGAACAGGATGGTACCAGAAGAGGACATGAGAAGAGGTTGGCTTCCATATATATTTTAAAGTTGGAGCTGACAGGATTTGCCGACTTATTGGATGGAGTAGCAAGAGAAAGAGGAGTAGTCAATAACTAGGGAATTCTGGGCTGAAAAACTGGAAGATCAGAAACATTAACTGAGATAGGAAGACCTGGAGAGGAGGACATCTGTGGAGGTAAGGTTGGGTGTTTGGTTTGGAACGTGACAGTTTGAAATGTCTGCTAGACATACAAGTGGAAATACTGAGCATGATTTCAGGGGCGATGTCTGGACTAGAATCTTAAATTGGGAAATATTTTTATCAGGTAGCTATTTTGTATTATTCTGCTATGTACTGAGGCATATCAAATTTTTTTCACTATCCTCTCTACCTTTTATATTGCTCAAAAGTTGTTTTCCTGCCCCTAAGTTATATGTGCATCTTTATTTTTCTGTAGAACTGTGTGGGGATGTTTCAAATGCACTTCAGTCTGTTTGGAATGTGTTATGCTGTAAAGTGTGGTGAATCAATGCTCTGTGTCAAATTTGTACTATGAAGATCTATTAAACTTTTCTTCATGACTTA